CAAGGCCCAGAACCACAGGCAGAGCGGAGCCAGGACTCGAGTGTGCGTGCCTGTGTGTGTGCCTGTGTGCGGGCTGTGTAGAAAGGGGTGCATGTGGCTTCCGAGGCCTCACCTGCCTCCCTCTGCCCTGGGCTCCCTCCTTGTGCCCTGCCACGGTCTCCCACCAGCAAGCCAGGGAGAGGGGCAGGGCAGGGCTCTTGCTGCATCTCAGCCCAGAGAGGGCGAAAGCCTGGGCAAGGCCACACAGCCATCGGCGGAGGGAGCAGCCCAGGGAGCAGGTGGCCTGGGCCCCAGCGTGGACTGGGCAGGATGGGGCAGGGGTGCAGCGGGAGGTGGAGGGAGGAGGCTGGCTGAAACTGGAGTCTGAGCTAGGTCACTGTTGCCATGGCTCCCAGAAGTGGAAATGCAAAAGATCTCGGTTTACCTGTGCCAGGGTGAACCGGCAGAGAGAGGGGAGAGAGACCGGAGACCTGGAGGCACCCTGGGGCTGCCCTGGGCCCGTGTTCGCATCTCACCGGCCTCGTTCTGCTCTGTGGCGAATGGGGACGGTGGCCTTCCTCAGGGCCACGGGGCCGGGCAAGGGCTGCGTTCCCACCTCCCTCGCTCCGTCCGCAGCTGTTTTTGTTTTTTTGTTTTTAATCAGAATTGTTCGGAGTGCAGAAACATGGAAGGAATCGCAGAGAACACACACATGCTTGATTCAGGAATGGGTGCCGTTCACTGTGGATTCTCTGTGTGTCCGTCTCTTAGCGGAACTCTGGGGAAGCGTCCTGCATGCGAGGACGCGGTCCCATGTACCGAGACCCGAGGCGCCCCTGCAAACACGCCCAGCGGCTCTTCGGGCCCCGTGGACGTCTCCCCTTTGTCCCAGGACCGTCCCTGCTGCTCGTCCATGAGCCAGAATTCCAGTAGGCCTCTGTGCTGCACACGGTCACTTTGTCTCGTTAGGTCTTTCCAGTGTCCCCCAGCGCTCCCCCTTCCCCCCAGATCCACCCCTGCTCGCTCGCTCTCTCTCTCTCTCTTTAAATAGCAGCTTATGAAGAGGCCAGGCCAGTTGTCTTGTAGAATGTCTTGTTCTAGATTTCTCTGAGCTTTGCCCCCGCCACGGGGTCCTCTCATGTGTTCTTTGATCCCCAAGGACTAGTTCTTCTAGTTGTGCTGGAGGCTTCGCTAGATCCACGGGAGACCTTCTGGCAAAAGTCTTTGTAGGTGTGTCCCCGGCCGGCATGGCCGCACCCCGGGAGCCGCTGACGTCTGGCGCTAAGCTCGCTCGCATGACTGGGGTGCCGGCTACACTTGTCTGGACACCGTCATGTGGTGCCCCCCCGTCCCGCACCCCCGATCTCCCGCCTCACTGCAGCAAGGGGCACCGGCTCCCACCCCAGACCGTGCTGGGCCATGCTGCTGCTGGCGGCCGGGGCTTTGGGCTGAATGTTCTGGGGTCTGGGATGTTTGGGGACGATGGCCGGGGTGGGGGGGGGGAGTGAGCGGTCAGAGCGGATTACGACATGCATGTGTAATCTGATTGTGACTTTATAGGTTATGGGTGCACGTGGATGAAGAACTGGAGGCAATGTGCAGAAATAAAAGTTGTTCACAGGGTCAGGGGAGGCTTTCGTCCCCCTAAATGGAGTCCTTTAGTGTTGCTGTTAAGCCATTTTGCCGTTTGGAAATGCACTGAGCAGAGAGAGGGCGAAGGGTTGACTTGCGGCGACATGAAGCGGACCCGGCTCGCGAAGAGATTGTGTTGCCAGCCTGGCACAGGGACGTTTGCATCAAGGGGAGAGCAGTGACCTTGGGGGCCCTGTGGAATCAGGACTTCCAGCTGCGTCCTGTGGAGGGAGGGAGCCAGGACTGGGTGTGGGTGTAGAGTTGCGGTCGGCTGGTGCATGATGTGGCTCTTGCTTAAAGCCAGATTTCCCCCTCAGAGTTTTTGGAAATGAAGTTCATTCACTTGTACCATAATCAAAAAGAAAAGCAGTGATCGTTCTCTTAAAGTAGAGATTGTGGAAGTAGTTTTCCTCGAGTGTTTCAGTAGGCACTGACTTTTCAAAGAAAAAAATGGAAGCACTCATTTTGTTAGAAGTGACAGGTCGTCCATAACCCAAACTGGCTTAAGCAGAAAAGAGGATTCATTGGATCTTTGCATTCAGGTGCAGCTGGGTCCAGGTGCACAATGTTTTAGAGGACTGTTTCTCTCTCTTGTTCGTCTTCTGCCTTTAGCTTCATTTTCCTCACGTTCCATGTGGTGTGTGCCAGGCCCATATCCTCTCAGTTTGGGGTCCAGTGGTATACATTTAAGAAGTATCTCACCTCTCGGGACGCCCGGGTGGCTCAGTCAGCTAAGCGTCCGACTCTTGATTTCAGCCAGGTCATGATCTCAGGGTTGTGAGATCGAGCCCCATGTTGGGCTCTGCCTGAGCCTGCTTAAAAAAAAAAAAAAAAGTATTTCCTCTCAGTAGCTTTTATGGAAGTCTTAGAATTCAGTCTGCTTAGAACAGCGGCATGTGACCACTCCTGACCCCATCTCTGTGGCTCAGGGAATTTGGTGCCAGGATTGGCCAGGCAAGGATCCCTCGTTCCGTCCTTGGTGCCCAAAGTAGAGCTTCCTTCCACGTCGCACGGGCTCTGTGTGCCTGTGGTATGGACGTGTACTTCTGTGCATACGTGCGTGTGTGTGTACGTGTGTGAGGAAGAGGGAGTGTGTGTGTGTGTGTGTGTGTGTGTAGTGTGTGTGTGAGAGAGAGAGAGAGAGAGAGAAAGTGGAGGGAGTTCCTGGTGGGGGGAGGCAGAGCTGGTGGCTCAGAGGACTACAGTCCGCTCTGTCTAGCTAAGAAGTCCCTTCCCGTGTGACTGCAGGCCTGGACTCTGGCTGTAGCACAGACTGCGCAGGCCGCACGGGCTGGGGACGCTGGGCCCCTGACGTCCCTGGTGTTGGGAGGCGGCCTCCCCGGCCAATGTGGGACCTCAGCAAGCTCCTTGCCTTCTGTCGGTTGCTGCACGTTTCCGGCGAGGTCAGCTCCCTTCCTCCTGCTGATCTTTTTCTGTTCGGGTCCCTCTCTCAGCCTGAGCACTTTTGAGGCCTCACATCTGTTCCCCTCTGTGTCCGAGGCCCCGTTGCCCTGTCCAAGACACGGTTGTCAAGTGAACGTTCGAGGCCTGAGTGACCCCTCTCTCCTCACCCTCCTGCTGCGGCCTGGGCGTCCAGCCACGTGGGTCCCGACCCCTCTCCCGCCACCTTCCTCCAGGGAACTGCACGCAGCCTTTCCACCTGCTGGGCAGCCCTCCCTGAGTACCTGACACATCTGACCCCCCAAACACACAACAGCACCCAGAAACAGAACGTGGCCAGTCCCCGTGCTCTTCCCTGTCAAGGTGGGCACCTCGCTGACCTCTGTCGCCAAAGGTTCACTTTGCCTGCTTCAAACTTTTTTTTTTTTTTTTTTAGATTGTATTTATTTGAGAGAAAGCAAAAACAAGAGAGATCACAGAGGCAGAGGGAGAAGCAGACTTGCCGCTGAGCAGGGAGCCTGACGTGGGGCTCGATCCAAGACACCTGAGCAGGTGACTCCCTGACCTTTGGCTCAGTTTTCTCATCTGTAAAATGGAGGTGAAAAATAGCACTTAGCCAACAGAGAGTTTTGCAGAAGAAGAAGAAGGCTTGAGCAAGATTTTAAATTTTTTTATGTTCATAAAACATTCTTCTTTACGTTGTCAGCCGTGCATCGTTTTAGTTCAGATCATTGTATCTTCTATTAAGAGTGATACAGGCTTCTGCAAAAATGAAAAAAGGCTAAATGTGGGAAAGTAAATGGATTTATTAACCCTCACCCTAGCTCTCTTAGAAAACGGCATTTTAGCAATGCTGTGCATTTCCTTTTGCTATTAAAAATCGGGCCAAAGTGTATGCTGTTTTCACCCTGCGTTGTTAATGTTTTAAAACACCTTTATTGAGATATGATTCACATAATATATGACTAGCCCGCACAAAGCCTACATAGTCCAGTGTTTTTAGCGCCTTCACAGAGAATGTGCACCTGTCACCCCCGTCACTTTGAGGACGTTTTCTTCACCTTAGAAAGAGCGAGTGCTGCTTGGCTGCCGCTTGCTTAGTCCCCATCCCCCCCCCCCACCCCCTGGCTGTCACCGACCCGCTTTCTGTCTGTGGCCTTGCCAGTTCCGGACATTTCGTATAAATGAAATCATGTCATCTTTTGTGACTGGCGTCTTTTGCCCAGCGTCACGTTTTCAACTTTCACCCGGGTGGTAGCAGGTATGAGTACTTCATTCCTTTGCGTGGGCAAATATTCCTTTATTTGGGGACTACCAGGGATTTCTGTAAAGATTTGCACAGGTACTGAAGCATTATCCTGGGCACAGAATAACCACGTTCGGTAACTCCTAGCTGTGCAGCCACGAGCAGTTCTAATTGATCTTTGCTGGCCTCAGTTTCCCCCTCCATAAAATGGGTGTAGGAGTGAGTGTGCATCGCTCTGAGCAGGCATGATGGTAGCCTTGAGGGCTTCAGCCCTGATAGTGCTGTTCACGCTCACGGTGTGCACTGCCCTTGCGGCCCCCTGCCCTGCTGTCCTGGGACACGGGGCTGCTTGGTGAGAGGGAGCTCCAGCCAGGGGCACCAGGTCCTGAACAAGAGGCAGTCACATACACGGGCCCACACCTTCGGGGCTCCAGCTCCCTGGACCTCCCCCACGTGGAGGGTGGTGGGCTGGGCAGGTGAACAGAGGTGGAAACGTCATCTTGACTTGGGGTCTCGGGGTTCACAAGTGGGTGCTTTTTTCATGTTAAAGAGAGAAAAGCAAGCCAGGCACTCAAAGGGCATTTCCTTCATTTTTTGAGCCCTCACGGGTACCTGTGTGTTAAATGTCCCTGGGTTCTGTCTGTGTGCTTCTCCCACAGGGTATTGGAAAGACCCCATGCTGGGGTCCCCGAGAGATGGCGTCAGAACGGTGTGCCTGGGCCACCCTGCCCAGCAGCGGAGCATGTCCCGGCTGGATTTGGAGATGCTGGCCGAAATAGGTAAAGGTGTGTTCTCCTTCCAGCCTCGTCCTGCGAGGAGATCATTGGCGTACATTTGCTTTTAATAGATAATATATGTACATGGGAGGCTTAAGTGGAATAATATCCTCATTCGCTGCTTAGGGCTACCCACTAAGCTGCCAGATTCTGTATCCCCATCTTACAGACAAGCAAACTGAGGCTCAGGGTAACTTGGAAACATGCCCGAGGGCACCCGGTCGTGGGGGCCGAGCGGGGAGGAGAGCCTCTCCCTGGAATCGCCCCCTGGCATTTTGGTTAAGATCCTACATGTACGAGTTTACCTGCAAGGCTATTCCTATTATGTGCACTGGGGCCAGCTGTTTCATTTATTTCCCTCCCTCAGGTTTGCAATAAACGGAGAAGGTCCTAAGAACCCGCTGAAGGCCTGTAGCCCTGAGATAAACAGTCTTCTGTACCCCGCCCGGATGTGGAAGCCTTGGCTGGTTCTACACCTGCCGCGTGATTTGCTCCCGAGGACCCGTCGTTGTGCCTTCCGGTTTGCTCCCCTTGCTGCTTAAGGCACTGCCCACCGCTCATCTGTCAGGACGCTCCACGTGGTGTTCTTCCCTGCGTCTCTGTCTCTTCTCACCAGAACCCCAGTCATTGGATTTAGGGTCCACCCTAATCCAGTATGACCGTGTCTGAACTCATTTCATCTCTAGAGACATTTCCAAATAAGGTGCCATCATGAGGTTCCAGGCGGACATGAATCTTGGAGGAACACTCCTCCACCCAGTGCCTCTGGGGACCAAAGTCTAGCCTGAAATTTGAAGGTCTCATTCTTTTTCCAGCTGAAAACATCTCAGTGTTGATTTGTTTTGCACAAAGGAACCCCCCTCTACTGAAATTAAACTGGAAGACCGTCCTTTGTGCTCCTTCATAGCGCAGTAACCCATTTCTGCCCTCAGCCCAGCTGTGGTTTCCTGCTGGCTATCAGTGTCCACATCGTCAAGGAGGGCTTGGGTTGGTTGGAATTTGGAGCTGGGAATCAAGTTCAAGTCCACACTCCACTGTCCATGAGCAGTGTGACCTAGGGCACTCATTCCCCGTGTCTGAGCCTCCATTTCCACTCCTGTCTGTGTGGAGGGCGGTATTCAGCCCCGAGGTCTCACTTTATTCTTCCATGGTTCTGCACACTGAGCGGGCGCATAGTGGGTGCATACAGAGGTGGGCGCATAGTGGGTGCACAGGAGGGGTGGGCACATAGTGGGAGCACAGCAGAGATGGGCGCATAGTGGGTGCACAGCAGAGATGGGCGCATAGTGGGTGCACAGCTAAGGCATGGTGACTGTCCTATAAAAAGACCCTAGGAGGCTCCCTCATTGCCCTTCTTCCTCGAGAAGACAGCTGACTTTCTCTAATCCTCATTGTCTGCCACAGAGCTGCGGAAAGATGAGGAGCAGGCAGCTGCCCTGAGCATAGTGAGAAGGCTGTTGGTGGTGCCCTTGGCCGGCCAGGATCCCGCACTGAGCATCAATCACCCCTTCTACGACGTGGCCAGGCACGGCATCCTGCAGGTGGCAGGTGGGTCGCAGCTGGGTGGTCCCAGGAACACTGGCCGTGCCACGTGGACCCTGTGGCACAGGGTGGGTTCATCCGGGCCACTTCCGTCCAGCCGGCTGTGGCCTCATAATGAAAGCCACAGTAGGAACCAAAGCACCTGCCTGTGTTTGGAAAAAGCCGATGACATCGGGGTCCTCCAGAGGGACGGGACCAGGAGGATGTAGAGAGGTCCACGCGAGAGGAGGTTTATAGTCGGGATTGGCTCTAGCTTGACAGTGGAGGCTGAGAAGTCCCAGGATCTGCCATCTGCAAGCTGGGGACCCAGGAAGGGCCGCTGGTCTAAGTCCTAGCCCAAGCTCTGGAGAACCAGGAGCGCTGGTGTCCCCCAGTGTCTGAGGGCTAGAGAAAGTGGATAGCCCAGCTCAAGCAGAGGGCAAATTCGCCCCTTTGCCCTTCTGTTCTATCCAGGCCCTTAACAGATTGGATTCACCCTCCTGCCTTGGGGAGGGCGATCTTTACTCGGTTCAAATGCTGCTGTCCTCTGGAAACACCCCTCACAGACACATGAAGAAATAATGTTTTATAGCCATCTGGGGCTCCCTGAGCCCAGTTGAGGTGACACATGGCATTAGCTGTCATAGGCAGTGACCCTAACATATCACCTCTTTGTCCCCAGCACTGAGCTCCATAAACATTAGTCCCTGTCCCCAAAGAGCTGGAATCTTGTCAAGGTGATGATGAAACAGAGGAATGGTTCTCAATAGTTGGAGGCCCCCAAGACACAAATGGCAAGTATTTTGGTGCACACTCCACGAAGAGGACCAAGGAGAGGTTGGGGATTAGACAGGTGGCCAGCCATTTCAAGCCCCAGATGTTCATTTTGGAGAACCTTTAAGGTTTAGGGAGCAGGAATGGTTGCTGGACCCCATGTGGGAGCACAGATCAGGTGCCCACCAAAGGAAGACAGGAAATACAGTTATTTTTCATAAGAACAAAAAAATACATTACTTATGTTAACATGCAATGGATTATTTTTAAAGATTTTTAAAATTTTATTTAAGAGAGGGAGAGAGAGAGAGCTCGTGCATGAGCGGGGGAGGAGGAGAGGGAGAGGGACAAGTAGGCTCTGCGCTGAGCGTGGAGCCTGACGTGGGGCCTGATCCCACGGCCTGAGCCGAAATCAAGAGTCAAATGCTCAACCAACTGAGCCACCCAGGCGCCCCTACAATGGGTTATTTTAAAATGAATGAATAAATATTTTAAAATTTTCTCTTCTAGATTTCTAGTATGGTCAATTTCTATAGAAATAACCCACTTTTTAAAAACTTTTAAGACTCTCTGAGGACCGGGGCGCCTGGGTGGCTCAGTTGGTTGAGCCTCCGACTGACTCTTGGTTTCAGCTCAGGTCATGATCTCAGGGTCATGAGATCAAACCCCGGGTCAAGCTCTGCACTGAGCTTGGAGCCTGCTTGGGATTCTCTCTCCTTCTCTGCCCCTCCCCCAGTTCACACGTGCTCTTTCTATAAAATAAATTTCATTTATTTATTTTATATATATATATAAATAAATATATGAAATCGTTAAAACAACAACAACAACAACAACTCCTTGAGGACATTAGTAATTTTTAAGAGTATCGATGGGTTCCAAGACCTAAAAGTCTGAGAAGCGGTGGCCTTGCACATGAGCTGTCTAGGCGGACGTCCCTTGCGCTCTCGAGAGGAATATGTATCCCGCAGTGTTGGGCAGAATGTTCTGTGTATTTCTGTCAGGTTCAGTTGATGAGTGGTGGTGTCTAGATTTCTGCCTCTTTCTGCTTCTGTGTCTACGTCTATCAGTTGTTGACGGAGGGGTGCTCAGAGCGCCCCTGGTTGGAATTTGTCAGTTTCTGCCTTTGATTCTGTCCGCTTTTGTTCCGTGTGTCTTGACACTTTGTTTTTGGGGGCGCATACACTTAGGGTTGTTATGTCTTCTTGCGGTGTCAACCTTTGCTTCGTTTCGAAGTGCCCCCCTCTATACCCGGCCCTGCGCCCGTGATGACAGCCGCATCTGACGTTCGTATAGTCGGGCCAGCTGGACCAGCTCTGACCTTCAACCGGCCCCAGTCTTTACGGATGAAGTGCATCGTGTGTAGACAGCTTCCCATCAGATCTTTTTGTACTTCCCTTGAGGTGGCTGCTTAGCGGGACCACGTTCTCAGCACCTCGAGGGTGTGCTCAGGAGTCTGCCCTTGGTCACCGGGCTCTGGGGAACATGAGGCAGAGGGCCGGTGCTGTGGGGCTTGTGGCTTAGAGTGACCCTTCTTGCCGCGGTGTGGGGGCTGCTGATGGCAGCTGCGTGAGGCCCCAGTAGGAGCAAGAACAGTGGTCTGGGTTCATGCTGTGGAGAGAGATTTTCAACGTCAGGCTGGAGGACCAGCCAAAACCTGACTGGGAAGGGGCCCTAGCAGAGTGGGGTGAGAATTCAGTCAAGAGATGGGGGCCCTGGGGTCGGTCCTGTTCTGCACGCCTCATCTCCACCTGCTGGGCTGGGGGCCTGGGGCCAGGACGGGGTTCCTTCCTGGAGCGAGGCTGTGGGTGGCCCCGCGGTTTGTGGTGGGTCCTTCAGGATGTAACGTTAAGGGTCTGTGGGCGCCTTGAGCTGTGGGCAGATTCTTCCAGAGATGCTCTGAGGTCATCATGGTGGAACGCTTGAGCCTGTCCTCAAGCTACGGATTTCTATGCTATGAGGGATGACAGCTTGGGTGGCAGCCCTCGGATTCCGGAGAGTTCTCTTGTTTTAGAGCAGAGTTCTCATTTAAACGCCAGCTTCTTGAGACATTTAACTATCTTCAGAGAACATCTGAGGCCCTCAGACCCCCCCCCTTAAAAGATGCCAGCCCAGCCAGAGGTCCTCAGAAGTCAGGCAGAGGCTGCTGGAGCAGAGCCGGATGGAGACAGCTCTACTCGTGGCTGAGATAGACTTCGCTGTCAAAGAACTAGAGCAATGGAGATCAAGACGCTCCGACCCGGAGGACCTAGTGGCTAAGGAGAGAGAAATCATTAGAGCAGAAATCAGCATCCCCGAAACCACCATTGACTTTTCTATCGGAGCGCCCGGCGAGAGCCCCCGGCGAGAGCCCCTGGCGTTCCCTCACTGAGGGTCAGTCCCCTGCCCCCTCCTCCCAGCCTCACCCGGGCGTCCGGCTCTGTTCCCTCGTCCCTAACTCTGGTTCATGCTCCTGTGGGGCTGGCTCGCCCAGGGGACAGTTCACGACCTGGAACCCTTCCCCCTGCTCCACCGGGAAGCCACGTGGGCCACCCTGTGACTCCTGCCAAGGGGTCTACTTTGGGCATGAGCAGACCTCACTCCCCACCAGGGGTTCCCCCCTAGTTTCCTCTCTGGGTGTCACTTCCCCCAGAGCTGGACATCCAGAACCGTAGCTAGAAATTGGAGTGTTGTACAAAGTAATACTGAATGATCTGTCTATATTTAAGGGGTGTGCACGTGGCCAAATGGAAGCTTTGTAGAATTGTAATTCTTTAAGATAGTGTTTTGTAAATAAAGCTGATTTCATCATTTTAAGAAGTGGTCACCGTCTGGAGCTCAGTCTGGGGCTGGGGCTGTGAGCCCAGAAGGAGATGACAAGGGTGGAGAGTAGGGTAGGCCGGGGCTGGGTTTGGGCCTGAGGAGCAGAGAGGCCGGAGGTATAATCCAGAGACGCGGAGGCAGTGAGAGAGGAGAGAAGGGGGGGACAGGCGGATCTGGTCCTCCTGGATGACAGTTCGCCGCCCCAGATCCGGATCTTTCCCCTCAGGTTAGATCCCTTTCCTGCAGGATGCAGACACAATGGGCCTTCAAGTCTCCTTTTATTTCTGCAAAAAAAAGATGAGCAGCCTTAAAACAAAAACCCAAAGAGACAAACTCCCAAATCACTCCTGGTTAGATTGCTACTGCCTTTATTATGCATTTTAATCGTCCTTCACTCAGAGCAGATGACGGATCGTCTGGAGTGCGTTCCGGGCGATGGCTCCGGGAGCCGTTTCTTTATTCATAAACTGGGCTTCCCCCGTCTCGGAGACAGTGAGCGATGTTGTGTGGCACACAGCGAGGGGAGGAATAAGGGTCATGAATTAAACTGATGCCTCGCAGAATTTGCATTTTATTGATAGTTTTCATTTCCTTCCACATTATATCATGTTGAAGCCCGTTTTCGATACGCCGGCCTGTGTTAGCAGAGAACGACAGAGGGGTATTTACTCATATTGACTGATGTCATTAATGCAGGTGCCGTGTTGACTGCTTAGTAAGTGGGAGGCCTGGCTGTCCCGGGGGTTCCTCTGGGCCTCCTGGGAGGCCTGCCCGCGGGCGTCGCGGGGCACTCAGGGGCAGAGGGCACTGTGCCTGCCAGGCTGGGGGTGCCGCCCTCAGAGCCGGCCAGCTGTGAGCATGAACCCCGCTCCAACGGGCCTCGGCTCCCTCTTCTGTAAGTGAAACAGCACACCTGGAGGCACCCATCTCTGGCCTGTGGAAACGGGTCCTGTTTATTGAGCACTTATTGTATGCCAGGGCTATGCCAAGACTTTATTGAAGTTACTGACTCAGTCCTTCCCAGCCAGTGTTGTTTTTTTTTTTTTAAGATTTATTTATTCGAGAGAGAGAGAGAAAGAGAGCATGGGGAGGGCAAGAGAGAGAGAGAATCTCAAGCAAACTCCCTGCTGAGCACGGAACCTGATGCGGGGCTCGAGCCCACGACCCCGAGATCATGACCTGAGCCAATGCCAAGAGTTGGATGCTCAACCAACTGAGCCACCCAGATGCCCCTTCCCAGCCACTTTTATTATTGCGCCTGTATCTGCAGAGCGGCAGAGAGGCTGGCTCGGGGCTGCCTGGCTGTGAGGGGACAGGGACTCTGTCCCCGGAGCCGGGGCCCAGCCTGTCCTCTCCTTTTTCACAAACCCAGTGTGCCCACCGCCACTTTCGCTGTAAGCTTCGTGAGTCTGTCCAGTCTGAGTAATGCCGGGATGTTAGCTTCGGGGACATTTAGAAATCTGTTGACATGAAAAGAAAATGCTAAGTTAGTTGCCCTTTTGATTTTGAGGGAAGTAAAAAGCCTTCACTAGTAGCTCAGCATCCTGCAAGCTGATGAACTGTGCAAACAGTAGGTGCACAGTAAGTGTTCGTGCAGTGACGGAGTGAACAAGTCAGTGCTTTCTACAAGCAGCATGAGAAGGGACTGGGCGAGATGTGGGCACTGGGCTCCCAGGCCCCTTCCGTGTGTCTGCCTCTGGCTTGCCCGAGCTGTGCTCGGTCCAGGGATGCTCCTCAGCCTTGTTTCCAGATGGTGGACGGACAGGGCTCACTCCTCAGTGCCCCTCAAGCCCTATCGCTGGCTGAACGGAGTCCAGACTCTGCCCCTGACCTGCCTTGCCTCTGCACGCCCTCCACCCGCTGGGCCCGCTGGCCTGAGCCGCGGTCGTGCGTCCTCTCGCCTGGCAGCAATCACGGGTCTGGGGGGCCCGGAGAGGCCAGGAACCCCTCCCACCGGCCCTCGGCAGACCGGCAAACCAGGGTCGGGAGGGAAGCGGGGCCTGTGGTCAGAGCAGGGCAGGGCCTTGGTGTCTGATGGAGACCCGCCACCTCCCGGCCTTGCCTGGAGGGTTGGCATTCCTGGACACCAAGCCCCTCCCCAGTCCTGGAGGTCTCTGTCCCCCGCCTTCTCGTCGCTGTGGCCTTGACCTCTCCTTCCACCATCATTTCCCATGACAGCCTGCAGCCCGCGGGGGCATGTCTGTGTCAGACCCCGTGCTGTTCCTCGGCCTACCGGGGTGTCCTGTGAACAGATGTCCGCTCTGCCCTCAGCAAGGCCTTGCCTGCAGCCCCAGTTCCTGCTTCATCTTCCCTTTCTGGAGCTTGGCCTCTGCGTCTCTGGCCTGCTGGGTGGCAGCCCCTCCACAGCCCCGCAGCGCACCCCTCTGGCACAGTAGGTCATGGTGGGGGTGCAGGGTAGTGCGACACGGTGGGGTAAATGATGTGTCTGGCCTTTGTCCCTGATTCTTGGGAAGTAAGCTCTAAATCTTTGAAATTTCCCAAGTGATAGCAGCTTTGTGATTCCTGCTGGTTTATGCCAGAGAGGAGGCTCCCGGGGGACCCCGGGTCGTGTGTGCTGCCAAGACAGCTCAGGACGGGGCTGCTGAGCCAGAAGGACCAACAGGATCAGAGGGTCAGTGCTTCGTGACCTCCAGGGGCTAGAGACTGTGTTCAGTCCATTGCCAGGGAATCGGTCTGGATTGATTGATTGATTGAGCTGAGTATTGATTGAATCATGACTCTGTCAGCCACGCCCGTGTGATGAAACCAGTAAGGACTCTGGAGCCACGTGCCCTGGGTGGTTGGTGACGTGTCGATCTGCCTGACTGCGGGGGGAGAGGGCATGGGGGGGGGTCCACGTCCAGGGCCCTCCCACCCTGCTCCCTGGCATCTCCCATTTTTTGCTGCTCTTGCTTGGTGTCCTTTACGATAAAATTCAAGTGAGCTAGTGAATTACCGATCGTGAGGGGGTCGTGGGAACCTCTGGATTTGTAGCCAGCTGGTCAGAAGCGGGGTGGGCTGGGGACCCCCGACCAGCAGCTGCTGTCTGAAGTGAGGACCTCTCTGTGGAGGATGGAGCCCTTCGCCTGTGAGGTGTGGCTTAAGCCCAACCAGGTGGAAGGCACTGGAGATGTAGCCTCTGGCTGCTGGAGCCCCCCAGCTTCTCAGGGGCTTGTGGAGCTGGGCGAAGACCCCATCTCCACATCACTGTCCTTTGCCCGGGATGGTGGGGCCAGGCAAGGTCCGTGTCTGGTCTTTCTTCCCACAGCTGAGTGCACAGTGGGCCTCCACTGAACGCTTGTTGACCTAGTCTTCCATTTGCCAAATTATTTAGTACATCCCGAGACTTTCCACTTGGCCTGATTGACGATGATAATGCCACTCGGGGTTCTTGACCTTTCATCACGGATGCTAACTTTCTCTTCCAGCTCTAGGGGAAATTAATTCCTGTTGCTTCGGTAGCCACACAGAAGATCCCAGCTTGAGAAGCAACGCTGTCCTTTTCTCTCGTGCCTCAACATGGGCACAGACACAGTGTGGCCACGGGACCCTGGCCTCAGATGCTAGAAACTGGGTGGGAGACGCTCCCCTCCCGGGCGCAGCCATTGAAGGATTTGTGCCCAAAGCCCCCATTTGGTGAGGCTTCCGGTGCAGTCCTTCCTAACAGGGGCTTTCTAGACACATGGGAAGCATGAGCAGAATCCCTAAGGAGCCTCGGAAATGAGAAGGTCCCGTGTCTGGAAACCGGAACAGCTCAAGAATTCTGAATCTCAGAGTAGCTTCCGGGCTCCTGGGAAGATCCAGACGTGTCCTCAGTAACAAGCAGCCGTCCTGGGTGTGCAGTCAGGACAGGGCACGAGCATTCACGTGGGTGTGCCTGTGGCGCGCGCGTGTGCGTGCAAGCAGGTGTGTGTGCTGTCCCAACTAGTTCAGTTCAGAGCTGGAGGGGGTGGGAAAGCCCTGCTCTCATCCTCTCGTTTTAAGTAAACCCCTGGAAACAGCTGTAAATCCTTCACAATGAAAGTGAGTTTAAAGCAATGTAATTTCTAGAAAGGTATTTGCTTTCTTCAGGTTCTAGAATCCATCTTTCAGTCAATCAGTGACAGATTATTGGACATTATTTGAGGACAGGCATGGGCAACAAGCCTGGGTACTGGGGACACAGATGATCAGACAGGAACCGGCCCTTGGGGAGCACCTCCCTCCCCTCCCCCTGCACTGTCCCACGTGTGGTGAGCACCACTGTGTCAGGAGAGTTGCAGGGTCCCTGGGGCCACGCTGGGGGCCAGCACTGAGCATCAGGACTCCTGTACCCTGTGAGGTCACGTCCGGGGTGACTGTCCCCCAGACCACCCCAGCCTTTTGCAAGGCCCAGAGTCCTGGGGGTGCTCAGGGCGACGCTCTGATTCTGTGGGGAGGAGGCAGTGGGCAGGGTGGCCAAACCCTAG